AACAATACGAACTAGCCAACCGAACAGGTTGTATAGTACTAGGTATTGATAAAGGCATATATAAAGCTCACTGCCTTTGTGAAGACTAATCAACCAACTGATGAGGAGCAAGAAGCATCTCGATGTCCTAGCACCACAAAGTAGCTTATTGGGTCCTCTTTTTGGTACAGTTTCAAAACTATTTTAGCTTAAAGGCATATATAAAGCTCACTGCCTTTGTGAAGACTAATCAACCAACTGATGAGGAGCAAGAAGCATCTCGATGTCCTAGCACCACAAAGTAGCTTATTGGGTCCTCTTTTTGGTACAGTTTCAAAACTATTTTAGCTTAAAGGCATATATAAAGCTCACTGCCTTTGTGAAGACTAATCAACCAACTGATGAGGAGCAAGAAGCATCTCGATGTCCTAGCACCACAAAGTAGCTTATTGGGTCCTCTTTTTGGTATAGTTTCAAAACTATTTTAGCTTATTGCTGTGTTGTCACGAGAAACCGAAGATAGTGGATGAAAAAGAAACTAGTTAGTTTCACCAGTTTCTAGTTCATCTGAGGTGGAAAGTGAAAACGAGCTCATATGAACAGTGCCATGAATAGTGCAGTTGAAACCAAAGCTGCTTTAAGCCCAACCGAAAATATTTTATATCTATGTATATCTAATATCAGGATTGGTACATTTCTTTCTTTTTTTCACTGTCCACCTCGTCTATCCATCCATCAATTTTCCCTTACTCTCACTTTTCTTGGTTTGAATTTGGAGTTATAAAATCTTGGTTAGCACCGTACCACTCATGACTCATGTCATGGCCTGGCTGTCCGAGCCAAATTCACATCACTGTCCACGCGCGGCTCGTCTTTCACCTTTGTTTAACTAGAAATATAGGTGCACACAAACAACAGCTACCTATTTCAGTTGAGTATAATTTTCTGTATTATACTTTATTATAATTATGGGCTTTAGAATTTATTTCATATATATAATTAAGATTGGAGTAAGCCTAGTTAAATTCAAAAAATAGGTATCCCGTTATTAATGACACGTGGAACCAACCGTGCAATAAATTATATGTCTTGTTATTACACTATAATAACATGTTTGCTGGTACGTGTCTGTCTCCATATATATACAGGTATGCAGATGCACACATATATTATACCGTGCTAAGCATCAGCTACCTATTTAAGCTACTGATGACATATATATGCATGCATCGACGGATCGCACGGTGTCACCTCAGTTATAGTGCGGACGGACGGACGGATCGATGGACCGGGGGCCGGCAAAGTTGATGATGCATGCATATGCATAGTGCCGCACCGCACGGCGGATGGATCGTATCGGAGAGAGGCCGGCCGGGGTGGTGGTGGTTGTCGGATAGATGGGCAACGGCAATGCGTGCATGCGTGAGTGATATGTCTCTCCCCAGGCCGGCCACTCACACTCACTGATCAGCTTCTTCCAGGGAGAGCAGAGGTAGGTATAAGCTTCTGTGTCGTTGCAGCATGGAACGGCTTTGCTCTGGAAAGAAACAGACAAAGCAAGCTAGGAGCCAAAACAAGTGGCATCATCAGCATGCATGCATGTACATACTCCTCTCCGGCTGATCCTACGCAAAGTTAGTGGTGGGCAGCAGGATCTGTCTATCAATCGGCCGGACGAGCGCAGGCTCAGGCTCAGGCTCAACTCGCGCGCGAGTGACTTGCTTGTTGTGACTTGCATTGTGACTCCATCCATCCATCCAAGCTACAGCATGTATGTAATTCCAACACAATGAAATTGTCGCCGACCGCTCGCGCATCACGACATCGAGCGACACGGCGATGCATTGCATTTTGCATCTGCATGCACCCTCCCGGCCGCCTCCCCATCCCATCGATCCATCGCCACTGCACTAGCTAGACTCCATGCATCTTTGCTAGTATATAGCCTCACCAACGTAACGACACTCCCAACAAATCAAATCAGCCACAATTATATTAATTAATTAATGGTACTCCCTCTGTCCGTAAAAGAATGTAATTATGAGATTCGTGCCGGTCAAATTTGCTCAAGTTTGACCAAGTTTATAGTAAATACTGTTAACATTTATGTCATCAAGTAAATTTGTTATGAAAATATGTTCTATAACTAATCTAACGGTACTTATTTTGTATAAAAAATATAAGTATTTTTTTGAATAAATTCAGTTAAAGTTGAAAATGCTTGACTTCTAAAAAAACGAGAATTGTACTAGGAGTACAAAAAAGAAGACGACGCTTGCATTGTGGAATTCCCGACCGCGCCTTGTGGAATATTCCCGGCCTGATGAAGACAGCAAGAACTAGCTACTTTCCTGCCCTTATGTTGAACAGGGATGCATGGAAACACAGGGACGACGACGATGATGTATAGTAAGTCTTCTGTGGGCTGCAGCGCAACCTGCAGAGATACGGCGAGCGAGGTCCTGGAAATTAAATATAAACGCCGTCTACCACCAAGAATGAAGCCGGTTGTGCGTTTCTTCGAACACGTACGTTCTCGATCAACAACACAAAGACTTCAACTTCTTCACTACTAGTTTCTTCTTTTGCCTGCACCATCATCATATGTTTGCCGTGAAAACTACCTATGGTACGATCAAGAGCCTGGTGGGTATTTGAAAGCAAATTAAAAGGAAGGGAAGAGAGATCCAGGAGGTCTGGCGCGACCTGTGTACCAGTCCTTATCGCACTAGGCGCAGCAGGTCCGGTGGCGCCACGCTGGCCTGGCCGTCGGCAGCCAGCAAGAATACTGGTTAGATCAAGCTAATATTAAAATATTTATATTTATTATTAAAAAAAGGCTAAAAAGAAAAAAAAAAATCCCACCTAGCTGGGGTTGTTGGGTATAAACCAGCCCGGCCCAGCCTAGTCCGGTCTGATCCAACTGCGTGTCTAGAGTCGGGCCGTTACCGAATGAACCAAAGTGCGCAGCCGGCCATGGATGAAGTGGCATGGCCCACGGGCTTGTAGATTGGATTGGATTGCATTGGACTGGAAAGAAATAGAAGCGTCGCAGGAGAAGGGAAGAAACAACCAAAAGCGAGAGAGAGGCATGGGCTGTGTTGTGTGTTTGCCGTGCTTCCTCTTTGATGCATTATTTATCTATTTATATATAAAAAGAAAAATACTGGTCAACTAATGCTACGAAACCTCCGGACGAAGACAGAGGAGATGCAGCCGGCCGCGCCCCCAGCTGGTGCACGGCCTGCCTGCTCAGCCATTGGATGGCCGTATCCCTGCCCGCCAACGCCTTGGTCACCGTGGAAGGATCTCTGCGTCCCAACGCCGATGGGTGGCGGGAGATCCTCCCACGGCAGGAGACGCAACTTGTGACTGCCTCGGTTGAGCATCGCCAAAAGCAGCTCCCGCAGGCACGGAGGATCCCCGCAGAGCTTCGCGACAGATGCTTTAACTGTCTCTCCTACTCGCACCGCGTCGCAACTTGCCGATTGCCACGACGTTGCCTGCGCTGCCACGGCTACCGCCACCTCGCCAGGGACTACAAGCAGCACAGGTCTATGAAGTCGGCGACGACGGGTGCCAACCTGCCACGGCACTCTGCTCGTGGCGACCCTCCGGCCTCCCAGGTGCCACACGGTGGTCCACCGAGCTTGGATGGGGCCACGCATAGGGCCATGGACGGCACCGACAGCACCTGCCGATGCTGACGCCGCCGGAGTAAGCCGGCGAGGGACATCAGCAGGGGCGCGCTTGCCGACAACGCCGCTTCTTCCGCTACTACACTTTGCTTCCTTGAGCCAGATCCACTGGCATTGGCGTTGTGTGCGAGCGCGGGACCTCCCGCATGGGTCGTCTCGTTCGACCCGATGTTGGAGGAGCTTGCCGCCTCGCTCGTCGTGAGCCGGCCAATGAGAGCAGCAACACCTAAGTGTCTGCCTGCTACGACAGGCCCTCAGGAGGTCGAAGCACCGGTGGCGGACACCTGTTCCCCGACGACGGTTGCTCAATGGACGACAGACTTGTCTCTGATGTCGCCAGTGCAGGGGCTGCCACAGCTCACGCCACCACGAGCGGGAGCACCCGGCGTCGTAGATGGTTGCACCACCCCCAACGATGCAACGTCCACACCACGCGAAGCTGCCCCGCGTCTAGCACGGTTCACTGAGGAGGTGTAGCTCAAGCGAATGTCGCCATTAATCGCCAGCCCACCAAGGCAGAAGGTGGCAACCAAAAGGTAACCCCTGCCAAAACAGAGCAGACGGATTGTCGCTCAGCCGCTGGCGCACATTCCGACCTCCAAGCGGAGCGAGGTGCTCCTCATGCGGAGGATGGGCTTTGCACCGCCGGCAGCTCCAATCTCATCCGCATCCAAGCGAGCATACGACGACTATTCGCAAGGAACTTGATGTCGAGCGAAGTGAAAGCTCTGGACATGCTGTTCCCGGCGACCAATGCTAGGACTGGTAGAAGACTCTTCTCGGATGACGAAGCAGAGTCGCGTGGCTAGTAGCGGAGACGCCCAGCTCCGTAGGTTACTGCGCTGCTCTTAGTTCGGTTGTTTAATTTTATATAATATCGAAGCTCGAAATAGTCTGTTAGAAAAGTCCAGTCACAACTGTAAGATCTCCTAGGACGACATTCGAGAAAAAAAAAACTAATGCTACCAAACTCCACGTCTCATGATTGCCTCATCGGTACTAGTCGATGGATCCGTAATGGCTGTGTTGGCATTGGCACCAAGCTCACGGCACGTACAGATTATTATATATATAAGGCAGTTCGTCAATTGCTACTAATAGCAGGAGTACAACAGAGTATGAAATGAATGAAGGAGTTAACTTGAGCCGTGTGCGAGTAGTGTGTGTGAGTGACACAAACACAGACAGCCATATGCCAATGCATGAAACTGAAACTGATGGAGATGAGATGTCGACGAGTTCTAGGTGGAGTTTGTTTTACAGTACCAAGCAAGCAAAAGATGCTCTCTTTTTTCCCCTTGGCTAGTTGTTGGATGGATCAGTTCAATTGTTGTCGGCGGCGGTGTGCACGGCGTAGGACGGCTCCGGAGCAGCGGCGGCTGGTGGCGGCGCAACGCCAACGGTGTCCTTCTTGTCGACGATGCCGTCCTCCTTGGGGATGATGAGGCCGTAGCCGCCTTCTTTCCTGCGGTAGACGATGTTGACCTCGCCCGTTGCCTCGTCCCTGAAGCAGTAGAAGTTGTGGCCCACGTTCTCCAGCTGCTCCAGCGCCTCCTCCACCGTCAGCGGCGGCATCTCGAACACCTTGGTGCGCACCACCTTGGCGACCACCGTCTGCTCGTCCTCCGCGCCCACGGCCGCCGCAAGATCGGCGGCGGCGGCGGCGGCGTCGGTCACGAGCAGCAGGTCGGCCGGCGGGAGCGGGACCTCGTCCCAGCCGTCGCCGTCACCGTCGCGCCGCACCTCCGTCTCCTTCTCCTTGATCTTGCGGAGCTTGCGCTTGATGATGGCGGCGGCGAGGTCGATGCTGGCGTAGGTGGACTCGGCGTCCTCCTCGGCGCGCAGGACGCCGTGGCGCTTGCTGAAGAGCGTGATCTCGCAGCGCGACGTCTTGGGGCCCCGCCCGAGCTCGCCGCCGCGGGCGGACAGACGCACGTCCACCTCCCGGACCAAGTGGCAGTGCTTGGACACCGCCCGACCCACCTTCTCCTCGATGTGCTCCTTGAGCTTGTCGCTCAGCTTCACGTTCCTGCCCTGCATGATGAGGCGCACCGACGACAGGGGCCCGTCCCAGGCCATCCGCACGGAGACGCGGCGGCGGCAGCGGGGGTCGTCCACGGCCACCGGCACCGCGGCCAGCCCGCGCCCCAGGAAGCCCGAGCGGAGGGCCACCGAAGCAGCAGCACAGGTGCGAGGATGGCTGTGGCGAGCGATTGCGGCCGAGGGGGAGGGGGACATTGCGGTTGCCGCGGCGGCCGCCATGGTTGCTTTCTTCCTTGCTCTCTTCTTCTCTTTCTTGAACGGACGGACGGAAGGAGGATGAGGATTCCTAGTGAGGGCACTGAATCTTCTACACGATGGGGGATTTGGGGAAGGGAAGGCAAAGGAAGGAGGACTGAGATGTGGATTGGTCCTATCCTATCCTATCCTATCCACTTCACCCTCTAGATTTTTCTTACTACCGGACGAACACGACGGCCAACTGGCCAGCCCGCCCGCCGCGTAATGGAAAGTGGGAAGTGGGAACGGATGCAGATCCCTCCGTGCCCGTCGCCCGATCCACATTCTCACCAGAATGCTACCGTACCAGCGATGAAAAAGATACGCCCCAACCTATTTATTAGTAATCGATTAGATACAAAACATCCACCCAGGCATCAGGATTGATCGCTCTGATGGTAACGCTTGCCCAGCAAAACCAACACACAGCAGCACTCCATGAAAAATGCCCCCGCGAAAGCAATACCATGTCCCCTCCCTAAAACTAGAATGCAACATCTAGTGTATGTAAGAGCGGCGGTCGGTCCTCTCAGCGACAAAGCCACGCAAGGAAACAATCCAATAAATAAAAATCACCAGATACTTTGGTAACACAACGGGAGGCACAAAATGGTTAAAACGAAAAACAAAAACAAAAAAAAAAACTTTACAGACCATGAACCCGGACAGCCATTATCCGCAAAGACAAGCCCACCACCTTCAATCCTGCCTTACTTGCCCAAAGGCCAGAGAGAGGGAGAGAGCCAGAGTTAGAGATCCATGGCGGCTTGCTTCACATACCCTGCTGTTTGCTACTGTTAAAACTCCAGTCACTTGTCACAAACAAATGTCCATGCTCCTCTTCTCTCTTCTCACAAGCTCAGCAAGAACTTGAAAATATCACTCAGTGATATAATGCCCTCCACACGTTTGCTCCCAGCTTCCACAATGAACACCCGCCGCACCCCTAGCAACAAAATACCAAAAACGTCAAGACATTATTCTTCAGGTTCAGGTTCAGAGGGCAACACCAGCAGCCTCCAGGTTCCAGCGGACTCACCAGGATTAGCCAGTCGCTCCATCACCTTCAGCAAAGGATCAGATCGGAGGCACATCTGGCATCTCTGACCGTTAAAAAATCCAAAAGGTGTATTGGCATCTTGTCCAAGCTGCAAAGCCTGAAAATCACAACACAACAGTTTCAAAGCCCAAAACCAAAACATATACATAATTCATGGGACAGCCCCGTTTTGAAATTACACAGCACAGCCACTTCTAGTCCTTAATCTTCCTTTCCCTATTCTGTAGGATAGAACTTCCACCCTGCTTAAATCTTATCAGCATTGGCTCTTATTACCGAAAAAACAAAGTAAAACACCCCCAAGCTATTTTCCAAACTGCTTACAGAGAATGTGTACTTATTCAGAAATAAATAGCAGCGAGATAATGCATTAATTTCCGATTTCCAAATTCCCAACTCTTCCCGTGACAGTTCCTCTAACCAAATCACCATATATAGTTAAGTTAAACAAGGTCAGCTAGCCCAAACGAGTTGTTTCAGGCTTTCAACCAAAAGACTTGATCGAGATGTGTGTGGCATTTACTAGCATACCTGATGAATGGTCATCTCATCCAGCCGAACATGTGTGTAGACCTTGTCTTTTGCTAGGGCTGTGATGTCACTGCAACGTGAAATGGGTAGATAAATACATGGGAAAAATATAAGAAACACAGCCAAATACAGCAGGCATCTGCAGGTCAGAATGGTGTACCTTCTAGAGTAAGTGTCAAGCAGGGCGTCATTTTCATCCACGATTGGTATTGAGCTTACTCCAGCTGCATACAACAGTGAGTACAAGCTTAAGAAATTAGTTACATAATAGAGCCAATAGTTTCCAGTGGAACTGGTGTTGAACTTCAGTTGATAAACAAGAGCTGCCATGGGAAATGCAAGCAGGAACACCAATGACTTGTGCATTTCCAAATTGTAGTTTTCAGTTCCAGGAAAACGAGCAAAGAACATACCTTGAACCAACATGTTAAGGGCAGAGCTAAGTGACGCATTAGGTCGCAACATAGCCAATGGACGACTGTTAGGATCACCAATTTTCGGAACCCAGGAACCCAGCGGAATGGAGCACACTGGTTGGTTCAGAATAGGCAAATTACCAGTCGAGTTTTTGAAATATCTACAAATACCTGAAAAGTATACAGGTAAACTGTCTTAAGATATCTTGTAACAAGTTACTCATCATTGCATAAAATGCTTCATTTTTCGCATGGGGAGAACTTACATGTCAAAATTCCAGAAAGGGATGCAAGATGCAACAACTGCGGGAACGATCCATCCGATGATGATGAATAAATAACTGGCACTGTAGAAATGTCATTTTGCAAAAGCTTTACTGCAATGTCCCTCAAGGACTCATAAGGGGTGGCCTACACAAGAGACGAAAGAGTATTAGAGAATTGGCAAATAAAAATAAAAAATAAAAAAACTGAGCTTCAAATGCAAGGAAAAGAAAAAAAAAACACTAAAAGTTTGAAGGCAATTCACGTCCTCATATTTCACAACCATGGAAACACATATTATGTTAAAGAGCCCTGTAATTCTCATCGATACGAGCAAGCATAAACTATGGAATTCAGAAAAGGAAGAACTCTGGCCCTACACAGCCCACTGCTCCCCTTAACACTCGACCCGAAGCAACACCCCACATATACTCCCTTTGCTGTCCTATACTCCTATATTACCCTACCTGATCAATGGACCCTTCCTGCACCATCTACTCCTGATCTCCTGCACTGCTGCTCCTTTCACACTCACTAATGCCTACTCACCACCAGCTGCTCTACACTCAAACTGCAGCGGGTGCTTCCAGCAAACCTACTGCTAGATTTAACAGCAGGGGCCAATCTGGCTATTAGCCAACATCGGTACCACCACCCTCCACCTGAAATGAATGAGCCACAGCACCCATTCTCCAGCACAGAAACCAAGCAGCTAGGCCAAACTGTACTCTCAGCCACTAAAACAAATGTTAACAGTGACCTTCCAGCAATTCAGAATCAAGTACCATAGTTTCATCTTGATATAGTATGAAGGTTCGATCATCAGTTTTATGATAAATATCAATTCAACATAAAAACACTATATTCAAACAGTATGAGATTCATATTCACTTTCCAAACATAAACAAGGCACCACTTACATGCACTAGATGCTGATGTGATCGCCACTGACCATCATTTCTTCCATAAGTTTGCCGCTTAGCCTCTTTCCATGCAGATATAGTGTGTGTTTCAAGCTGCTCTTCTGTCAAGTTCGAGCCATGAGTTTCTAGCTGCAGCAGAAGCATGATAATTTTATAAAACAATTCAACCAAAATAACATCCAAAGATAAGCCCACACAAAGCTCAACCATATATATTTCTTTACAGATACACCATATCCATCACATACTATCGTGCTTTCGGTTTACAACACACAACGAAATAGTGACACTGATTAATACGCTAGTCATTTATATCTCCGTACTGGGAGTACATTGAATTTTGTTCTCCAAAATCCTCCTAACAATGATTCCACAATTTTCACTATATTAGTTCCATATTTTAGAACTAGTACTGACCATTTTGGATATAGAAAAATTCAACTAGCAACAGTATGATGACAACCAGTTGACACAGCACAGAAATTGAGTATTCCAGCATCTCGTAAAATGAGAAACACATACTCAAGTTGCCAAAATCACTTGTTTTCATTGTCCAACCAATGTTTAACTGAGACTACTACCAAAATCCTGAGAGAAGCTCTCTGAAATCTTCTCTGCTATGCAATTCCCCAATTCCACATCTAGTTGAGGGAAGGGATGACAGAAGAAAACCAACGTAACAAGAAATTAAAGAAAACTAATAGCAAAGAGCAGAGCAAAAAAACTTACCTCCCGCAATATAAGTATGAAATCCAATGGGCTCAGAAGACCAACAAATTGACCTCTGAATGAGTCCCAGAGAGGAGCTACAGGAATCCCCTGCAATTTTAACCATGAAATGAACATATTCAAAATTACGCAAATATTGATGAAGGAAGCCATAAAATGGTAAATGGTGACAGCTAAAAAAGCATTGCAAGTTTGATAAGATGTCATAATAAACCATAATAAGAATGCTGGAATGCATAACAAGAAATGGCAGGTGTCCTGTATGTATGCCCTACCATTGGGACAATCTTCACCTAGGAAAACAGAATGCAGTAACAACAACAACAACAACAAAGCCTTTAAGTCCCAAACAAGTTAGGGTAGGCTAGAGTTGAAACCCAGCAGAAGCAATCAAGGTTCACGCACGTGAATACCTGTTTTCCAAGCACTCCTATCTAAGGCTAAGTCTTTGGGTATATTCCATAGGCTTTGTTGTTGTTACATGTAGAATATTTGCTAAAATTAACAGACAACAACAACAACAACAACAACAAAGCCTTTAAGTCCCAAACAAGTTGGGGTAGGCTAGAGTTGAAACCCAGCAGAAGCAATCAAGGTTCAGGCACGTGAATAGCTGTCTTCCAAGCACTCCTATCTAAGGCTAAGTCTTTGGGTATATTCCATCCTTTCAAGTCTCCTTTTATTTGCTAAAATTAACAGAAGTTGTAGAATTTCATGTAAGGAGGGGCAGATCATGTAAGAACAGCATGAAAACAGAATGCAGTAAAGAGACCAATAATTGAAATCGCTTAGCTTTGCAACATGTTCATGGTATTGACTTGTACATACTATTGCATAGATTATTGTACGTCTATATGCACTTTACGAGTGTAATTTTGAATTTTCATTCAATTCCAGTGGACAATCAGATTTTGTGGAACCAAATAATACATCTATATATCACAAATTGCTAAATATACTGCACCTCTATGTGCAATATATGAAGTAAGAAGTCTAACATGCAGCTTAAGCATTGTGAGCCTGTTTGGTTTGCCTTCAGACAAACCTGCCTGGGGCTGA